CACAAAAATCAATTTTTGAATGAAAACAGATCGTTTGTCAATCAATGCTGTACATCCCATTGCCTTATTCGACAAAGCGATGGGTGTTTCTAGAAAGAATTGGACAAAATCTTCGATATCGGTGTCTCTTTTTTCTGTCTCTGTAAGAGTCAAGAACAGAGTCAGGAGAAGTGCTCTACCTTCCGGGTACGAGTGTAACCGTACCATTTACCTACTTTTCTGAGCGCTCTGTTTTAAACGTATTGGAGTATCTACACTGTAGTTGTTTGTAATCGATTTGAAATTCAAAAGCAACCCTAACAGGTACACATAATGGGCTTCCCACAAACCTATAATAGCATTGGGGCACCTTTCCCTTCCCTACTGTTGTTCATGTCATTTAGACCCTTCTTGCATGGTTGATGAAACAGTATTCCCTTCTCCAGTTTTCTCCTAGCTGCACCTTCGTGCGGTGGGGGGGGGGGGGCTCATTCCTTCTGGATTCGCAACAGTTTTTCGCCGCGGTGTTATCAGAATATGCAAGAGTTGTTGCATTGGAAAGCCTCCGCTTCATCTCAAAGAAGAGCTTATCATGGTCTTGACACCACATAGACTATTCTTCTTCCTTCGTCAGTTGGAAAGGTGATCATGATACCGTCAAAATGTCAAGTAGAAATCTAACACTGAAATTCTTAAGACCAGAACGGATCTACGTTTCTTATTCTGACGCAGCATCTCGTACTTTCAATTCGTTAACATTGCCAACTGTGCTCTTTTCACGTTCGATTGCTCGTGACGTTAATTAAAAGTCTCGTGAATTCATTTCATAAACACTGACATTGTTTGTGGCTTTAAAGAGAGTAAGATCTTTTGCTCGGACCAATAAACTGCTTAAACCATCTGTGTGTACGTTAGCTAGGTGGCAGTATGCAAATTATTATACTGAGAGAGTTTGATTTTATGGAAAACCCATTGAAAGTCCAGCTTACTGAACGCAGCTTATAAATGACTTCATAAAATAAAATGGGTGACGCTCCTTAGCAATAGAACTACCTTTTGTTGTATTACGTATCAGTTCGGAATTGTTCGGCTATTTGATTGGAGGATGTTGTTTTACGATGACGTACATGGCAGCAGACAGACATTATGATCTATAGTATTCGTGAATATCAATCTTGAAAAAAAACAAGTTTTCATAATCTGTTATTCCCTGTTGTAATCGTCCTTTGACAAGTCGACAGAAACGAACATGATTTGACGATACCAGACGCGCTATCATCAGATCTAAGAGTTGATTTTATCCATAGGTTTGAAATACAATGCAAAGTTTCGTCTGTTGTAAAATCATATATGCATGCGTAGTGACTGTTGACATTATTACTAATTACAAATCATCTTGTATTTTAAATAATGCTCCATAATATTGGAAAACAATATATATATATTTGAACAATGTAATAAGTTTCATACTGCCACCATTGTTTCACCAAGGTTTTTGCATTGGGGAGTGACGATATCGAGGGAATCGTTTAAAGAAATGCTACAAGAGTAAATTGAAACGTTGACGGCAAGCTACGCTGCATGTTTAACGAAGGTTTAATGTCAAGGATTTACTGTATACTGAAGTACAAATCCTTGACCAAATACATCAGAAGCATGGTGGTGCTTCATGTTGTTGTGTTAATCCTATGTCAGTATGTTGTTATCTATCAGGTAATCACGCTTTTCATCAGTAATGCCGGCCATCTGACGTACGATACCAAGCCATCAATCATCACAATAAGTTACCATGCCTTCATCAAGCCGCCATTTTGAAAAATGCATGCTCTTGATGGTTTGTTGGCGGACATAGCTGTCAGCAAACGAGCTAACGCTAAGAAAGAGGGGCCACTTTGGTGACGATTGTCTACTGGCTAATTCGTACTCGATCTAACCATACTGATGTTAACTAGCGTCTGTCCATTTCATGTCTAATATGAGTGACACGATAACTGTAGAGCATGGCCACATTTAACAGCGATATTGGACAACTTAAGTGGCCGTAAAGTTGAGTAGTTTTCCGCCTGTGAAGGTCTGTATATGCTGAATCCAGACGATTGAAAACTTCGTTGGCGAATTTAGTTTTATAAACAAGCTGTGAAAAGCTAAAAAGTAAACAAAAACAAAAACAAAAACGACCTACCACGAAACCGGAATTTAAAAATATAAACATGGTCAAATCCAGTTATTCAGCTGCTTAAGAGTAATCATAACAGAACGAAAATTCAGAATACCAGAAAAGTTAATTCCAGTTTCAAGATGGTTTTTCCTTACAAGAATATAAACTCAATTGGATGGTTATTATTTAGTATATATATATACATTCAAAAAACAAAACAAAAAACATTGAAGCTTACTTCAATATACCATCCAAACATTAAGCTTAATGCATTTGAAACGAAACGAGGAGTAACACTTGATATAAAGGTAGTGTAGGCGATTAATGAAGTGGAAGCAGCAGGTAGGCATTTTATATCAAACCCATTGATTAGGAACGAAAGCGAACGGACGAAGTTGAGTTAAGGTTGGTGGATCGAACGTAACGTTTGGTGTAATTTAGATCTCAGGCAGTGAAATCAAATATCGAGATTATTCTAAATAATATATATACAGGGTTATATTTATTTTATAAGTAAGAAAGAAAAATTATTTTGATTAAAAGTTTCATGTTTTAACTACTTTACTGATCCGTGTTTGTACGCATGCGCAAACCAAAGCAACTGGCTACGTTGTTACGAATGGTCATTTACGGGAGGCAACAGAACAAACTTGTTAAAGTGTTTACGATCGGAATATGTACGAGATTTGGATACATTGTGCATGATTTAGAATCGACATTGAATATAGAGCAAAGGAAATAGAACAATTCCACGTAATGCAAGCGTAATTAAGACCCGCCACTAAACAGGTGAAGGGTGTAATGACTCTGGTAATGATGCTCATTAGCAGATGGCATACAAGCTTTTAGTCCTATGTCCATTCTTTGCCGGACCCGATGACCAATAAATGATGGTGCTGATGGACACTGTCCAGTAATTGGCTAATTCGGTACAAACGGTCTTAATGATGCGTGCAGCAATGCGCTCCTCCAAGTACATGTCCGACCAAGATTCATGGCTGCATCCTACCATTCCGACAAATTCGTACATTAATCGGAAATGAGATATCTAAAGTACATTTTATGACATGGACAGAGTTACAGATTTAGAAGATTTTATCATCATTTCATTCTGTATCATCCGACATCTATTGACCACTGACAGTGATCCTTTTACTTTCCAACCTCGCCAATATTTCACTATCACTGTCATCCAACACAGCGCCTAAACCCTTTCCGGAGCCCTGTACCACCGGTTCCTAGAAAGACGAAGAGCTGTATAATGCTATGTAAATCATGTTTGGCTTGCTGTATTTATTACCAAATTTTAAAAGTGCAAGCACGTGGGTATGTTTCGTTCATCTTATTTAAATATGCAGTTTTTATCATATAACGAATTTTAGGAGAAAAACAAGAAATTGAGAGAAGATATTTGATAGCAAATTTGATAGCCTAATGTTCAGTTGACCAGACCGTTTATACAATCCACTTTTAAATGTCATTTTTGTACGGTATAAATCCTAGCATTCAATGAAGAGTAAACAGAATATATTAATATTGATTATATACACTGTTCGGTACAGGTTTATTATTGCAGAGCGTATATATCGATGTAGTAGTGCACACTGTTTTGCTAGCGTACAGATATCCGACTTCCGAATTAGTCGGTTGTGTCCGAAGATTTTCTGGAAACGCTGACCTTAAGGAGGGTTCATGGTCTTTGATCATCCTGCATTTGTTTCGTAGACAACTCAATCATCTTAGAATGTTAGACAGACACCGACCACGCCGGACTGGTCAACGGGAAACTTGACCATTAAGTGCAAACATAACAACAAGTCGGTTCGACAATGATACCAAAATATTTGGACGTATAATATTAAACAAAATTTAACAATTGTATGCGTTATCTTAGCAAACCAGGTATTTTATCCATTAAAAAGTTGCTCAGATTTCAAATCAACCGATGCAGTTTCTTTTAAACGTAAGGTTAACAATATGATATAAAAAAAATGGTGAAATACACTCGAGAGTATGTTAATGTTGTGTGTTGGTTTGGATTGGTTTGTTTGTGTTTTATGTCCTATTAACAGCTATGGTCATTTAAAGACATGCCAGGTTTTGGTGGTGGAAGAAAGCCGGACTCCGGAGAAAAACCACCGAACTACGGCCAGTACCTGGCGACTGCCCAACGTAGGCCTCAAACCCGCGACCCAGTGATGGAGGGCTGGTTGTAGCCGAATGTCAGACACCTTAACAACTTGGCCACCACGGCCCCTTGTGACATGCACTGTGAGTATACTTGGTTGTCGCTGTATTTGGGCCCTTTAAGTGAGTAATCTATGTATTTTTTATACTGGTCGGAAATCGTACGGAAATAAAATTAACGGCAGTCGCAGAAGAAATAGATAGAGCCAATAGAAATTTGGTCGACTATTGGCCTCTATAGCAAAATATCAGCAACACCAAAACCTCATAGTTTAACACTAGTTTTCTCCATTAAGGATATCGTTAGGTAAAAAAGGGGAATCTTCTTTTAGCAGACTATTTAGCAGCGTATAATGTGAGTATATGACTATAACTGAGCGTAAAAGTGCAGCAGGGGTTTGAACCTTAGACTTCAGAATGTTGCACTATCGCTCTAAATGATTGAGCTATCTCGTTAACGGAAGATCGGTCCTAGTCATTACGTCAATCATCTAATTATGACGTCACCAAAATGCGTAAAACGGCTTCTGATTCGTCATCAAGTAAGCTCAGATGAAGAATCAGTGATCTAAAGATATCGGTGGTACGTTTTTTGCAATATGCTTAACAAAGTAGGACTTTGGTATACATGTACAGTACGTCAGATGAAAATAGTTCAAGTGAAACAAATGCCTACCTCGGATGAAGTCAACAGCTTGCTCCAGACCATAGATATCTCTATCGCAATCGTCCTTGGCCAGGACACCAAGTCTGATACCCGGAATAAGGTTCTCGTTGTTCACCTTGTCCATTGTAAAGAGCATAGTTTCTAGGGCCTGGATCCCGCCCTGAGGCATTATGGGACCACAAATCTTATCCTCACTCCTCTCGTGGACCATGTGAAGTGCCCCAAGTACAATCTGACCTGTCTCACTCACAGACAAGTCTCTCCGAGGCCAAGTGTAATTACCATATTTTCCCACAATTTGAATCTTTTTCTCCTTGGCAATGGTACAGAGCACGGATAGGGAGTTCATCAGCACCACTACGGCAGTACAGCCCAGGGCGACCAGTCTATAAAAACGGGAGTCCGCGGACATCGTAGTAAGTTGTTAGCCCTTCGTCGCGTTTACTGCTAAAAGTGATACCCCATTTCGCTTGTGTTACAAGAGACTATCAGCTAGTTTATTAAGGTACAAAATTCCTACATTATATTATAACACTTGTTGCTATCCTATTGTGCAACGGAATAAGTGCCTCCAGTTTCGAAACATTAACAACTTGAACAATTTCGTAAATACTTTAAACTGACACAAAATGGGGAAGATCAGCAGAAACGTTAGAAAGATATCGATATTCGATAACTGAAATAAGAATCATGTATATGTAACATCAAAAAAATTCGGTATAAAATAATACCAGCCAACTTTAGAAATAAAAATGGATGCGTAAGTATATGTTTAACACTACACTCCGTTGCTCAACTATTCCCGCTAGTGTTGCTATGTACAAGACGGTTATTTCGATTAACTGAAATAAAACCACATAGATAGGGGCTTCCTGGTTTGAAAAAAATGATATTATTGGGACAAGCCTTTTCAAATTTCTAAATTATTGCGATACGTTATTTGAACTGTGAGACAGCTTGTTGTATTACTAGAACTACGATCACTATCACACCGTGTTTCCACTGTTAACCTAAAGTCATGGGTACGAAGACTCCTAGTGGGTGTTCCTCATGTAATCCTGTAGCGTTGTGTACTATCAGAGAGCGTTGTGAATGAAATCTCTGTGTAGATAATCCAGGTTAACTGCGGTATGGGTCAGCACCTATCGTTGCATATCGGCTGTCATGCTGGTGACAGTCTAGTAGTTTTGTTGTAGTCCTGGATTAATAATGTTCATCTCCCTAAAATAAAAATAAAAAGAGAGAAATTGATAAAATTGTGAATCTATACCCAAGGTCAATGAAAACAAGGGGGTTCCGAGTGTGTCATCCTTCTCAGAGATTATTTTAAATCCATCGGTTTATTAAGATAGTAAACTTCTATTCAAACTTCACAAATACGGATTGTTTCTGCAGATATGTGACCCCTTGCAGAACATTTAGGCGTGATGGGTACCGGAGCTAATTTGTTAAAAGTTTATTTAGCTCAACGTAAGCTTTACGCAAAATTTTATCTTGTGTGTTTTCAAAAATATTAAAACTAATCATTAAAATTGCATGTATAGTGATCGAAAAAGATAGTTCATCAACTAGCATTACAAAATCATGATGATTTTTAGAAATTGCTCAAAAATAGCAAATTAAATATTTGTGTTGAAAAATCTTAAAGCGAACAATGCTTTGAATAGCAAGGCCTAGCATAATATCTAGATACCAGTATGAAACGGTTAATAAAAATACAACAGAAGATAAAACGTTTCAAAAAACAAGAGAAAGCCAAATGGCCAACAACACCATAAATCGAACTCAAAATCGATAAAACCAGGAGAGAAGATGAATAAAGGTAAGATTTTAATGAAGACACTTGAAAAAATACAAGGAGAGTAAGACCTGTGCCCTTGCTCATGAAACCATGCTCATGCTCAAGCATGGATTCTGTGCTAAAACCAACATTCTTGCAACTCGTTTAAATCATGTGACACAGCCAAAAGATTTTTATCAATTTATCACTGGAACAAGAAATTTGGCTTAAGCACAGAATCTGAGTTTGAGCATGAGAACGGTTTCAAGAATACGGAATTAGATGTTTAGAAAGGATGAGCTTCTGTTGCTCCTTCAACAACACCCGCTATGTAAATATAGGTCAAATCCCAGAAATGGCATGTCCCCTTAGCGAGAATTGGGGAAGTGACAAGAAAGCAACAGGGCACGCTATTGAGTGTATTAAAACAAGCAACCTTCACATTACGCAAAGAAACGGAAACAATGGTTCTTGAGAAAGAAAAGAACGTTTCAAATTCACAGAACGCCGGTAACTCAAAACATAAAACCACTATGCCAGCACTAAGATGACATTAGGGACGGCACTTTAAATGGTGATCATATGGATTCTTGCCAACATTGGTATGCAACGAAAACGTGTTTTTTACTTAATCCCTAAAACGATACATCATTTAGATGATAGCTTTATAATTTGTCGAGTGTTTATTGAAATAGTAATATTGCAGTACCCAAATCGGGACATTACCCAAATCGGGACAATTGAAGGAAAAATGTCACAAGAAATTTGCATGCTGTGCAAAGAAGTATTCTTAAATTGAAAATATTGATTTAAAAACGCTAATATACCAATGAAACATTATATGAACTTAATTACTGCCACTTATGGTTACAATCACAGTTTTAGTTTGTAAATAATGACGAAAATGTAATGTTTTAAATTGAAGCGCCATGCGACATTATTGATTTTCAATTTTTGTATGTGATTTTTCACAATCCTATTATTTCACAACTAATGGTAGTTGGGAAAAGAAATTCATTTAAAACGACCCTTAACTCGTAAATATTCCAAAGATATGCCATGTGTGCTAAATACATATTCTAATCACCAAATATAAGCCAAAAATTGTAGAGTGTCGATTTGGGTACAGCTACACATGTTTTGCAATTACGTAACCATGACTATATTTCCGGTTTTATTTATAGAACCACGCGCCAGAACTATCTACTTGTTATCAAAATGAAAAGATAATGATATCTATTGAGGAAAAATAAACGTTCGCGCAACATGCTTGAAACGATACTTACAAAACCACTCTTTACATGGGGATCAACAAAACATATGAAATAATGTATTTGTTTAATTAAAAGAGAATTTGGTAGACGTATATGCTGTGGGGCCGGATTGACCATAAAACATATCCTACTTGAGACAATACTTTATGATCGTTCGAGGAAGTAGATTGAAACATGTGTTGTTCGGTTCACGCAATGTCTTTTGAGGTAAGGTTCGATCTTATTTAATCTATAAATTTGGTAAATATTTACCGGTACGACACAATGTAATCAACTCGGACTGGTTTCCATGACAACTGATTCTTTCTGGAGTTTGTTTGTCGCCAATCCATGTGTGAACTACAAACGTCTTGTAGCCTTACTTCATGGCAAATGAAAACCTGCCGTTACGTGTGTTTGTGAACATAGATAACACCAATTATATTTAATTCAAATATTTTTACATAATCTGTATGTTGAAAGGAGAGTTTCTGCTTTCATATACAAATGATTCAAATGGCTTTGTTTCCTTTCAAGCGTTGGTTTTCTCGTACGTTTGTACAACACATCCTCAGTTTGACCGTTAACGTAACATTGCATGTAGAATTGAATGTGTTTAGAAACGAACATGATGTACTATTTTTTTTTTAACACTTTTTTTGTTACACTATTTACATTCTATCCACATTAATATTCAGACACATCTAAGATTACAGTAACAAAATGTACACACAAGTCTTTCATTTAAACACATAAACAAAGAAAATCCGGATTTCATAATGTTTTGATTTTGCATTTAGGGTTTTTTCTCTGATCGGCGAATTTGCTGGTGATGTTCGTTGCTTCATGGTGTTTTCGTTTAAAAGTGTTTTGAGCTGTTCGTGAATGTGGATATATATCATGTTAAAATAGGGTAAGTTCTGTTTTTGTTATTTTTATTGTCCAGTTTGCTTAAATATAAAGCGTGTTTTGTTGCCTCTCAGTAGGAGCACGACATGCTGTATTTTATCATTAATAAGTGTTTTTCGATCCTTCGATGTCGTCTTCTTGTTGCCCAAAACAATAAAATCCACATTTGAAACTTCTTTCCCTGGTCCGATATCAAAAGAATATAATCGCATCTGTACAGAAATATTTCTTCTGTCGGTAGGAGAGCGCATACTTGTTTGTTTTTAAGTAATATTTTTTTAATGCGTTACATTAATTCAATCTATTGATTTTAACTAAAAGATAGCAAGCAAATAGAAATATCCTTTGTAGTGTGACAAGCATACAAATTATATATTAAAATATTACCGATATTTTGTATGTTGAATTACTCAGCAACTAACACAATAAAAATTCACCAAGATCAGATGGTGTTCGTTTAACTTTGAATAGCATGGTTCGATTGAAGACTTTAAAGTTGAATACCTTCCCGAGATAGCTATTCTAGTTATCTTATACGCATGCTAGAACGGTATAACGATATTTATTTTGAATTAATAATGAATATTAATTAACGAATTTTTTTCTGAATGATTTTGATAAATACCAAACAAAGATAATCTAAACATTTACTATTTTTAAGTGCCAATCATATAGATCATCGAGTATGCCAAAAGGAAAGATAATACTGAAAACAAATGAAGCGCGTGCATTAATGTTGTCGTTTTCAGTTGGCATAAATATTTATCATGAATGGCAACTTCGGGCATTTCAATGCTTAAATTTCTGTTAAAACAGTGTATTGCAAAAACACAATTTTCTACATATATACATGGCCATTCTTTCTGTATTCACTTGAGCCGATTGCGTGTTATATTGGGAATCGTTTACAGAACATGAGGTATGCTGCTCTGCAAGATCTTCAATCCTCTAAGTTGGTAAAATTCTTTGAACAACTTAAAATGAATAGTCTTATCATTAACTTAGCTTTTTATTTATTTATCTATTTATTTTCACATTTCGGAAATTTAAGGTTCTTGTTCATATCATGAAACCGTAGATAAGGTTGTTATCAAAGACGGCGGTTTAAAGTTTATGATATAATCTTTGGAATCGTCATGAAACAATTAAGATTTAATGTTGCCATTTACTCAGAAAATGAGGTGAAAATGTTTCCGAAAACTTGTCGAAGAATCCCATAACCATACATATGTAATTGCATATAAGAGACTTACCTTCAAAACACGAACACTTTTGTTTTTTCTTAATAAGATGAGATACTCCAATGGCCATGTTCAGGTTTAATACAGCTCTGTCACCTTACCGTTCACAGTTAACCCACAGCAATACAGCTTACTTATAAAAAACAATCTATAAAACCGCCATAACTCATCAACTGATATTTCCGGCCATGCAGATACTCACAGTGCTAATGAACTGTCAACATAAATC